GTTTTATTCACTGCCGTGTTATAAACACCTAATGACACTTGGCACAGAGAATGTGTTAAATAAATATTTGTTGAAGGTTTGAGTAAAATATTCAAGTTGGATTTCCTTTGATTGTTTCTTATCTGTAACATACTGATTACTTTATTTTCTCTTTCCCCTTTGAAATAAAATATATCAACTCAAGGAATGCCAGAATCAGAGCACATAGATGCCAAATTCTGTGGGAAAACAAAAATCTTGAAGAGCATAGACATTTATTTCAAAGCAAGTGAGAAAACAAAGAAAATCCCAATTTATAGGTATTGACTTGAATTCTTTACTTACTTATTGATGTAAGAAAGGCCAGGTATTGATTTTTTTAAATATAAAAATTAATGTTTCTTCTATTTATTACTTAATATTCATCAAGCTAACTGTCCATATCAAAATAGACACATAATCTATGCTCGCAGTAAAGAAATTCAAAAAGAGAAGGACCTTATGTCTTTAATTACCCTTCTTTGACTTCTCAGATTTACCCTGGATGGAGAAAAAAATGCCAGGCTGAATAGCTTGTGTTTATATAAATCTTGATCCATGTGCCCTCTGACTCCCCAAATGACTGAGTGGGAGGAAACACACACATGCATTGTGCCAGTGTATGCATAAACGCTGTCACATGTAAGGCAAGCAGGATGACATAGAGAGTCCAAGTCACAAGTTTGTTAGGACTGTAAATTGAAGTTTTGTTCCTACGAGGGTCCTAGCAAACTACAGCCATATGAAGTCATGGCCCTTAACTGCCACCTCTCCCACATACTGAATTCAGATGACCATTGCAGCCAGCCAGCTACATTTCTTTTTTGCATGCTCTGTCTTCACTCGAGTCCACCCTAGAGACCTCTTCGCTATGGTCGAAGCAGAGAGAGATCTTTGAGTGAAAGATCATGTCTTTGTCATCTTTCTACACACATTGCCTCCAAACCTTCTGAGGTTTAGCACAAAGCTTAGTAGGTGTGCTCCATAATGCTTACAGAATGAATGAATGAGTGAGTGAGTGAATATTGCTCTGAACAAAGTTGTGGCTTCCATACCTTACGTAACTAAACTCAGTACTGACCCTTGGAGATAGGAAAAGTAACACGACTGACGCTATAAGAAAATGTTTCTTGTTTATACTTCTGCATCTTGATCTTTGGCTGCTCTAAGCACAAAGAGAGCTCTTTCAGTTCAGAGAAAGGAGGTTATGGTGTGTGGGAGCGCTAAGAACAATGGGTTCAATTGATAGACTGGAGATGCTCTCAGCTTCTGAGAGCTTGGAAACTCCATCTATAGATCCGCCCCAGAGGGCAGAGCGAAATAAGGGCAGATAGAAAACACAGCTTTCTTGGGAACTGGATTTTGGCTCCTCTGAGGCAAAAAATATATTCACTTTGTAGCACCCTGAATCAAGTCTCCAAAATATGGTGCTGTGTCCTTGTTTTCCAGTGTCTAAAAATAAGTCCTTGTCATACTTTTATTCTTTTTGTCTTAAAGCCGTCCAACCAGACTTGCTTGTGGAATATTAATTGGAGTGAAACAGAAATCAGGAGATTAAATTGAAACTACTTTTGAACAAAGCTCCTTAACTGATGACTGACTTGTCGCCCCCAGCTAGTCTCCCTTTCCTTTAGTCACGTTCCTTGCTGGCTGCAAATATGGGACAAGAACATAAAGCTAATTCTAAGTCAGCTTTCTCGAGGCCAGTCAACAGAGTGTTGTCCAAGAGTATCAAATTCTAATCTAGATTTGTGACAGAGCTTCGATGCTATGTCCTAGGTGGGTTAGTGGGCTGGCCATCCAGGGCAGTGTCACTAATTTACTTTAATATTGCCCCACCACAGCCTGTTTACATTCACATTGCCCTTGCCAAAGCTGCCCTGCCCTTCAAAAATTAAACCTTTCATCCAGTACTTTCCAGATAAAGCAAAGTATTAGTCATGTATGAAGCACTAGAGGTCATTCTTGAAACACCCAAATCATTTAAATAAAAAGTATTAATAACTTAATCCTAAACAAACCAAGGGCTGTAACAGCATTGTGGAAGTCAATCAGCAACTGTATTTGATACTGAATGAGCAGAACTTTTTGAAACTCAACTTTTTTTTTTTTTTTTAAGTTTACTTTTTATTGAGAGAGAGAGAGACAGGGTCCCACCATGCTGCACATACTTCCAACCCTCCAGCAAGTCAGGATCATGAGCATATCCACAGGCATGCCCCACCTGTGTAGGTCAACCTGTAACCAAACCCAGGGCCTTCCCATGAGGTCCCAGCATCTCATAGTGGTGCCCTACCACCCACACCATCATGGCTGGGCCTGAAACCAACCTTGAAGGGAAAAGAAGCCTTTAAACAGGCAGTGAATTGATATCAAGACTTGAATTCTAGGGAACCAGCAGTTAGCGTAATGGCTATGTCGCTGGACTCCCACGTAGTCGACCGCGGTTCGTGTCCCGGACCCGGTGGCTTAAAACTCACGCCGGGCGCGTGTGCGTGTGTGCCCAAGATCCCAAGAGGAGAATGGAGGAGAAGGGATTGCAGCGTGACCATCCTCCCTGGGGGGTGATTTCTCGCTTTCTGTCTCTATGTCTCTGTCTGTCTGGCAAGCGCACGTGCCCTACAGTGAAAATCTCTCCAAAAAAAAAAAAAAATGAAGACTTGAGTTCTAGTTCAACTCAAACATGTACTTACTGGGTTTCTTAGAGTAAGTTACTTTATACCTCTATTTCTTAGTGTCTCCCAGCTATAAAAAATAGAAGTGATCTAATCTACCACAAGAGACTTCAAAAAAGTTTGGAAATTAGAATTAAAGTATGAGTTTATTTTCCTACAATTTTTTTTTTGTAATCCAGGCACAATTTACTCATAATTTGTATTTTCATGAACTTTTTGAAAACCTATTGCACTTATTTCAGAGAAATATTGCAAGAACATCTTGATTGACTTGAAAAATAAATGAATTCCTTGACCAAGGTACATCAATTAAGTTTCTGTTGTGAGGTTAAAGAGAACAATTAACTCAAAGGACACAATGTTTGATTGAGAACATTCTTAATTTTATTTCCTTTAATTTTATAAAATACAATTTGTAAGATAAGTTTCTAAAAGTTTATCCTTTATGTGTGTTAAAATTGAAATTCTATATCAGAAATGAAGGAAACACTTTCAGTTGATTAACTCTGTGTGTGTGTGTATGTGTGTGTGTGTGCATGTGTGTATGTGTGTATGTATGCCTGTGAGGTTTTCAGGGAAGGGTTGGTTATTTGTTATGTTATTAAATCAAAACAAAACACAAGGTATGGATTACTTCACTTTCCTTGATCTTGATTGGTTTCTTACAGAACCTTTTCTCTTTCTTCCCTCTATGCAGCCTGGAAGCTTATCTCATATAGTGGTCTGAAAACAAGTATGGAGTATCTTTTTGTAAAGATTTTACATCTCCTTAAACATCAGGAAACCACTTGTGGGGGGAAAAACAACATAACTCTTTACAACAAAAGAGCTACAATAAAAATCTTTCCTTCTATGAAGATCAATTGCACATTTTTTCAACCCAAAGTTGACAAAAAAAAAACAGAAAAAAAAAAAAACAGGAAAAGACTGAAATCTGTGAGCTGTTCAGGTTTCAAACTCTTTCTGCCTTTTTCCATGGAAGCTTACTGACTGAATAGCTGACGGTTGGTGCATTCTGTTATGTGATCTATACCAGGTGAAAATAACCTTTATGTTAAATCTTACTCTTAACACACCAAGATAATACTGCTAAGTGAAAGCATCTCCCATTAACTAGAAAGAACAAGCAAAGGGTTATTCAAATTGAGGTTCAAAAATACCAAACCTGTTCTGCAAAGGACAGAAGATTTGCAGAAAATCCTGACGGATTCATGAAACTAACCAATTTTAAAAATAATGTTTATGTTTAATATCTGATTTTTCAGTTTTAAAGAATCATAATCAAAGAATTATTCTCCAGGCCTTTCTAATACAGCCCCAAACAAGTAATGAACAAATTGGAGAATGGGAAATGTGATCATTCTGAAACAAACCAAGATCTTCAAATCACCTACTAGGACTGAATGGATAATACCCCATAAAAAGAGCACCATTGTGAAGATATGACAGAGGCCAAAGTACACGACTAATTAACAGAAAAAAGACATGCTATCCAAAGAGTTATCTATCCTGTGTCTACCAGAGGGTCATCTCGGGTTACACCTTAGCCACCAGCAACTGCTGCTCTTTAGGCCAATCTTTTTTCATGTAAGCTGTTTAGTTTCTTTCTATCCTCAGCTCCTTGGAAACCACAGGGTTGTCATGGTAGCTGTTAACAAGGAGAAGGGATTGAGAAGATGCTGACAACACCCTGTTTCTCTTCCCTAATGAGGTGTAGGGCCAGATGCCCCCTTCGTCTACACAGACACTACGCTCCCTTAGGCTATAAGTAAGGTTGGCTGAGTTAGGGCTTAAATAGTTCATTGCCATTGGGGTCAGTGCTCTCTTTCTATGAGTGAAAGATCCTTGCTTTGACCCCCTACTCCCAGCTGCAATAGGCAGATTTGGGCAAACACTCTTATTGTTTTGCTGGTGTTCTTTGTCTCTTTCATCTTCAGTGGTAATTGGGAGGCAGAAGTGAGTTCTCTGTTTTGTACACCAAGGAGAATATGTTTGGTCCCTAGAGATGGCACAGGGACCAAGGACATTCCTTCTCTCTACCTGAGCATGTTTCTTTCCACTTTGTTTCCATCAGTGGAAGTGCTCTTTGAAAAGAATGCACTTCCTGGTCCTCGGGAGATGCTTGAAAATTGAGTTAGAGCCTCCATTTGTCTGTGACTTGCAGTTCAGGAGTCACCTTCTTAGGTATTTCCCATTTCTAACAAGAACCAGCTGTGAAGCAAAAATGACTAAAAGAGGTACATAAGAGGGGAGAGTCCACAGAGTCATTAATCACCGTGAGACTCTCCTTTCTTGTTACACTCATCAAGTAAGAAGAGGGCCAGTCAGTGGCAAAGGCAAAGAGTTAAGATGGGAGACGCAGCATTGTAGGCTGTGTGGTTAGAGCCTCACTATTAGGGGAATTCTATGGGAGATCAGAACTTGGTGCCTCGGCCCATGAGTTTAAGGACGGCAAAGTTGTAAGTGGCAGCAATCATGAAGGTGAGCTGTAGGGAACAGAAGAGAAAATATGAATGAGAGTAGAAAAGGAAGCTCTCTCCCCTCAGATCCTTCTGGCAATGAGGAACAGTAGGAATAAAATCTTAACAGAATAAAGGAAAAACCTAGACTCTGTAGAAAGCAACACTTCCCAGGCTTTCTCCCTATGTATTTGACTAGAAGTGCTCTCTGAGATATTTCCTTCCAATAGCCTTGGACCAAAGAATCAAATCAGTAAGGATTTCTTCCACACCTGTGCTTGGCCTAGCACTGGAGTATCCCTTAGGGAAATGAATACTTCCTGGGCTTTGCCATATCTATGCACCTGAGTGACCTGAAGTCATACGGTGCTTGCTGTAGATACACAGCCATACCATATAATACAACCCTCCTCTGCTTCACACATCAATTTATTTTACAAGGTGAGAAGTTACTCTACATAAAAGGCTCAGCAGTAGGGGCCAGGAGTTCTGAGAGCTCATCCTTGTGTGTTCGCCACTTATTCAGTACCATCAGATAAATCACCTCACTCTTCAGTGTCTTTTTTAATCTGCCCAATGAGCATAATACATCGACACTGCACATAACACTATGCGTAAGACCTGGGACAAAGAATTGCATCATAGTCATTACAGTTCTAATAGTGTTAGGAAGTCTTTTGAATATTTCCATTAGAATAACTAAATCCATTGGTGAACATCCTAGATGGATTCGTAGAGTATATAGAATTCCAGATTATAGAAGATCATGTTCGATGATGTTTCAGTCACTGATTTGACCAGGATGTGTTGAGAATTAACTATAATCTATGGCTGGAAAGTACTTGTCAATATCATATGCTCAGTAAATGATAGATATTATCATTCGTGACTATGAATCTCCTGCCTTCTCTTTCCTCACATTCTTTCTTTTCTTATTCCTGTCTAATTTCTAAAGTGTTTCTGCTTTGCCAACCAAAGAAGAAATATAAAGTCTTTACATCTACTGTCTCTTTCCAGTTACTTCTCTCTAGCATTTCAAGGTTGGAAGGAGTCGATCTTCCTGCCTTTCAGCCTAGCTGTACTCAAGCTACATGAAGCTGTATCCAAGCCAAGATCACTCAAAGGTAACTCACCAGCGAAACCAGTGTGGCTGCAGCTCCCACAAATGCAGCAATAAACAGGTGGAAGGTCATTTGGAACTGCAGGAAAATGCAAAAGAGAGAATGGTTTCTCACAAAAGCAAAAACACTGTAAATGGTGAATGTAGCTTTCTGAACATGTAGATCTCTTTCTTGTGCATTAATTATGCATCTCTTAAGTTTTACTTCCTGAAATGTAAGGCTCTCATTCTTTAATGTATACCACAGTTTCTAGCCCCAGGGTATCCTGAACACTCAGAACACTAATAAAATAGTGTGTGCTCCCAACTGGTTCCCTACAATCGTGCCCAGGATTCCAAAATTTAACACTGCTTTGAAAGAAATAGTTTACTGCTTTCCTCTGAGGATTTACTTCTAATCTCCCATTTCATCTGTGTTAATACTCATTGTCAATACAGTGTTTTCCTGTTTCAAACGTACCTGTTTTACCTCTTATTGGAGATTAAGAAGTTCCAAATTGTTTCCTGTATGTTTTGGGGAAAATCTCATTTTGTATGCTGTAATGATGTACAGTGAATGAATGTAAATAAATAAATTTAAATAAAAAAATAAAGTGAAAGGCTATTGAAAATAAAAAGAAGCTCCAAATTTAAAATGTTTTATAAAACTAATGAATATCTCTGAATGCAATCTATAAGGTTGATAAGGTTTTTAACTAAAATGATAATGTTCATTTGAAGAACTTTGCCATTAAGCTCTATTTTTACTTAAAGCTACACATAGCTCTTTTAAGGGGGAAAGTTTCAGAACAGAAGTCTTTCTGTGCAGCTCTGGGGGAACTAGGCGTTTCACTCTCTATGCCCATTGGTAGAGGCAAACTCAGTCAGCGTTTTGTAGAAGGCAATCTGCTAATTCAAAATCCATCAAAGAGAAGTTAATCCTTAAAATTGAAGGCCATGGGTAGAAATTTGTACAGTATTTGACATTCCATTGTAAAATAACTCAAATGGCCCACTCACCTCAGCTGTTTTACAGATGGACAGAAGGTTGGAGCCACAAACCTTTCCAGGGAAAGCATTCCATGGGAGAACACCTAAAAAAGACACAGAAATCAACCAAGGTAAGCGTTATGGAATACTGGGGGCACATGGAAAATTTCATCCAAATCCCATTTTCTATCTCTAATCATCTGGCTATAAACTTGGCTCTTACCAACCATCAGAATCCTCTTTTCTAAAGATTTACAAAAAAGAGAAGGTGGTCATGAACGCTTGTGAAATATTGTACTTGTGCTGCTTTGGAGCTGGGAAGGCAGACGTCTAGAGTAGAACAGTGAGAACAGCCAGGAAAACTTCCACCACTTCCAAGTTCCCTTCCCAGTGAAGAAGCTACTTCAGTTCCAAGTGGGGGAGAATTAATAAACTAAGATCCAGGCATTTATGATCTTGTATTTTTTCCATAATCACCATCCTCTTTACCTTAATAAAAGAACCATATATAACAGGTCTTTAAGAAGTTCATGAAAATGGGGGCCAGCAGGTGGCATGGTGGTTGAGGGTACTGGATTCTCACACGGTCCTAGTCCTGTACCTGGCTGCTTGCTTTCTCACTTTCTCTCTCTCTCTCTCTCTCTGTCTCTCTCTGGTCAGATTAAAATAATAATATAAATTATAATAACAAATGGAATGAAATACATAAATAATTCTAAAGAAAATTTCATGAAAATGAATGTTATGAAAGCACTACGCACACATTTCAACTTTGGTTTGCACCAAAAGAAACTCATACTGTAATTCCATTTTTCCACCAACTTTTTGAAGTCCCCTTATATATTGCTTCCATAGTGAGTAGGGAAACCAAAGTCCCCATGTCCTAACTCACCATACATTCTGGCATCAGCACAAAGACTGCCTATACTGGCAGAGGTCTTGCTGGGGAAGGCAATAGACTGGCAGGTGGTCCAGGTGTTGAAGTAAATGTACACAGGCACAGCAGAGCAGGCAAACACCAGGAGCCACACAACGGTCAGGGCATAGGTGATGCCCACAAACTAAAACGATTGACATGGAATGGTTAAGAATCAGCCATCAGCCTGTAAACATTGAAACACAAACTGGGAGATCCTGGAGTGGCATGCGCCAGACATTAAACCAGATTCCAGGGATCTCCCTCCCCCAAATGAAATTAGTGAGTAGGGCACTTCTGCCACATGTCATTGGCAGTATCTACTAGAGAATTGGCCCCAGGTGTGACGGAGGGTGGGTGGGGGCAGGAAGGGGGTTGGAGTGAGGAGGATCCCTGGGTTAGAGAGGCTTCAGGGGATTTGTTTGGGCAGATAAGGTATAAAGAAATCAAAACAGATCTTGAAAGAAAGTCGTGCCATTTTGCGCCTTTGGCTGAACTCAGAAAGCTACTGGTCACCAAATTTTGATTCCCTAGTCATTAAACAAAGCCAATTTAAATTTTAGAAACCAAAATCTTTCTAAGCTAACTGCTGGCCATCAAAAGGCATTACCACAGCTCACACACATTCAGCCTCTAATGAATCTTTAACTCTAGAGACTGAAAACTGATGTCTTCCTTACTAGAAGTACATATAGCCCTCAAAGATAAAACATTAAATATGCAGAGATACTCTAATTCCCTCTGGGACCTCCAACATTGTGGGATCCCAGAATATTGTGAATTCCACTTTGGAGCTGAATATTTAATTTCTATGATCAGCCCTCCTTCTCAGATCAGATGCCTATGTGTCACGCTTATGAGCAGAATTTTAGACTCCAATGTAGTCAGATACACTTTTGTGGTCCCTGCTGGGAAGAAGGTAAAGGGTTACCAACAGATGGCTTAGAAAGTCTGATTATACAAAGCATCTCAGAAAATTCATGCTTTCCATTTTGAGATTAAATTTTCTAGGAAAACTTTGAAAGGTGAGGCTAAGCTGGCTGGGCACCACGTTCTTCCTGACCTTTTCGTTCGGCTGTGGCCATCACTTCCTCACTCAAAAGCCAGGCCCCTAGAGGGGACCCAGCCTTGGGTGGGGATGAGGCCACAGACTCACGCCCAATTGTCCCCCACCCCTTGTTATTGCCACAAAATCCTGAGGATGATCACCTTGTCGGGATGTCCTAGCCATTTTCCCAAACAATGACACACCCGCTCCAAAGAATGAGCTTGATGTTGGCCTCTGGAACCCCTCCCCTTCTGGCCCCCTGTTACCGTTGCACTCAGGCCCTTGCCGCAGATGGTGGTCTTGTAGTCGCCAAAGATCTGCCTGACTGCGCCGGTGGTGTAGAAACCCTCAGCCAGCAGGAGGGCCCCATAAAGGAAGAAGAAAGAGGCAGTTCCATAGATGACATACTGGAAGGCATGGATCCTGCATTAACAGATAGACAAAGGAGACCAGAGAAACTTATTGATTGAGGAACCAGCTCCTTTCTCACATCAGGGGGGTAGATACTTGAGTGGGCACCTTAACAAGGCTAGAGGGTCTTTAGAGGAATCACTAGGCTCTTCATGCTTTCACCAGAGGACAGGGAGCATGTGACCAGTAGCACATGCTCCTCCTCCCCATGCTTTGCATACTCTGCAGTCCAAAGAATTAGGGCCCTACTCTCTTTGCTTGCCCCTTCAGAGATGCTACCCCACAGGAGAGAGGAGCTATATAAAAAGGAAGAGGAGTCAAGGAACAGGAACCTAACTTGTTCCAGGAATGGGAGAGGCTTAGTACTGAGCCTAAGCAGGCACAAGCAGTGTGTGAAACCTCATTTTGTCCATTCAGCATGCCTCCCCTGGGTTCTCGATACAGAGGCTCCGACTCAGGCAGTATTAATCATTCCTAGCAGAAGTCAGAACATGTGCAAGAAAATGGGGGAGGGTGGTTAGGGAGGTGACAAGAAGGCAGAACTCCCCTTTCTAAATCTGTCACTTATCCCTCATTTAGGGCATCAGATGTGACATAGGTGGAAATGATATGCAGAGAGAAGACTCAGGAATCCTACCTCGCTCCATCCCAGACCCTGTTAATCACTAAGGTTCCAATGAGATCTGTGTCTCCCAGATACAGAGAAGGAAAAAGAGAATGGGTCTGTATGGCAAGAGAGGTACTTACACATTGATGAGATACTCATAGTCTTGGTAGTTTTTGGAGAAATAAGTCTCAATTAGCTTTTCTGTGCCAGTGAGTGCTTCATGTCCACAGCCACAGAACAGTGCCACCCCAAAGAAACACAGTCCAGTGGCCACCAGGGAAGCAAAGGGGGCCCCTACCAGACATCTTGCACAGCACTCTAGTAAACCTGGGGAAGAAAGAGAGGAAACAGTCAGGTATGTATGACAGGTGATTCGTGCCACTTGTACTACTCTGTCAGACCAGTCAATTCCTGTGCTCACAAGCACAGAAAGTGGTCAACCCAGACTCCAAGATCAGGAGAGTCTGGAGGTTTCAGCTTTTGGAATGTAACACTGACCCCAAATCCTTACATTATCCATTCTTGGAAATATATCTTTACCTTTAGTTCCCAGGTTTTTTTAAAAAAAAATAACATAGCAATTCAAAAAGCAAGCCAGAAAGATTATGAAATTAGTTCCCCTTTTCTTATTGTTCTGATTTGTTTATTTACTTATTTTAGTTTTTCATTAATTATTTATGAAATATTAACTATGTGCCTGGCATTGTGTTGGGGAAAGGAAGAAAGAAAAGACAAAGATTGCCATATGGGAGTCTTTGGTTTACCTAAGAGGAATTAGCTAGGTTGACCTCGTATTTTCAACTAAAAATTCCAGACAGTAAATAGGTGGTTACAGAAGGTAACTGCTTAGAGTGTAGAGCAGAGTTGTTGATATTGTCAGACAGTATTTGAGCCTATGGAGCATTCTGGGTGGAGGAAACTTTGGAAATTGCATGATCCTGGATATCCCTGAACATTATGTATTTGTTGCAAGGAATGCTTGATTCTTCTTTGTCTAGATATGTGGGGAGCAGTCTGAAGAGGAGGAGGAAGCTGGCATAGGGTGAGAAATGATAATAGGAAGATTACTATTATTCACAGTAATAAAAATCCAGGCTTAATGGTTTTTGGACACTTTGCATGGCTGTTTTGTCCCCTGTACTACAGCTTGTCCAGTGTCCTTACCCTCAGTCCTACAGTGATAGTCTGTCAATATAGCTATGAAGAGACTTTATACAAAGTTGGCAAAGCATGACACATCTTTCTGGCATGAGGAAACCACACCAGGGTCCAGGAACACAGGTGTTTTAAAGTGCTATGCATCCCTGAGATCCCCAGACCTTGTATTCCAGGCCCCACATTAGTGTTGCTGAGAAATAGGAAAGGCATATAGGAAGTCAGAGACTCTGAAAGTAGCTGTGTCCCAACTACTAGTCCCAAGCTCCAAAGTGTCATATGGAATGAAACTTAGCAAATATCAAATAGATGACCTACTAGGTAGAGAAAAAGATGGCTCCCCACAGCCTGTTGGCCAAATCTCTAAGAGTTAGAAGAAATTAAATTGTTAAGATCTTCAGACAAAAACTCTTAATACACACACACACACACACACACACACACACACACACACACACATTTCATGGAAATGTATATTATTAAACAAAAATATGCATGAATTTTAAACTTTTTTGCACCCAAATAAACTTGTGCTTTAATTCCATTTTCCATGAATCTTTTTGAAGTACCCTTGTGTACACACACACACACACACACACGCACACACACACCGAATCAGAAAATGTGCTGGAAGGGCAGCAGGTGACACGGTGGTTGAGACACTGGACTCCCACATGACTAACCATGGTTCAAGTCTTGGACCTGGTGATTACTTTCTCACTTTCTCTCTTTATCTTTCTCTGGTGAGCATGAAAATAATAATAATGATGATGAATAAAATTAAATGATTATTTTTTTAAAAAAGAAAATGTACTGGGAAGATGCAATTTTTGAATACACATCCTGTGACTCCTTTGAGAATTAAAATAAATTGTGTGAATTTCTTAGATTTGGATTTTGATATTGATGTATTTGCCAAGACAAGCTCTCTTATCTGTACCAGAATACCAGAGGAAAGGGGAGTCTTCTGCCTGATCCTCTTAATACTAATACAGCTTCTTTTTTAGCTCTGAGTGTTTGAATACTTGGTGATTAACATGGTTAAATTGCATCATCATGAACAGATTTTGAAGGACAAAATGATTTCTATCATGGGAAAGATGAAATACGGTATTTGTCTCTGTTCCCAAAGCCACAAAATGAGTGAGTCCTTTTACCTACCACCCCCTGAAATGATAGCCTTTCCATGGACTTCAAAGAGCCTCTTCTTCAAAGATCTTTGCATGTTCCATCAGAGATGAGGTTCAGAAGCCCAAGCCAAGCAAAGTAAGTAGCTAACGTTTGCAGTAGAACTTGAATTCCTTTCCTTTTCTAAGAACTGAGGCACTGCTGCCAAAAACTTGGCCTCTATGAGAAGCAATCAATTTGTAGCTGTGCTGCTGTACGTGGAGACTGAGTTTACTCAGCATGAACTTTGCAAGAGTACTTGGTAAGATTACCTCATTAAAACTGGCCCACAGTGAGTGTACATATGTGTGTGCACATGTGCATGAGCATGTGCATAGAAATGTGCAAATACACATGTGTATACCAGAGAGAAAAACAGAACAGTTAAAACTGATTGCTGTTATCAGAAAACATTTGGAAATTTATTTTCCTCTTTCTTAACAGGTTAAGATACTAGATGCATCCTGTAAGCCAATAAAAAAAGTTTGGAAATAAACAAAATTTTGCCATTTTCCTTCTCTGACTATCCAACTCCCCCCACCCTGAAACTCTTGGACTCTTCTATTAAAGACAGTCTCTGAAGCCTGGGGATGGGGGGAGGGGAGGGTCAGTGACCCCACTGTTCCCTCTCTCCCCAGCACAGGGTCAGGGCTTGGACAGAGCCCTCCATAGCTTCCTAGGACAAAGAAGCCTTGTTTTCCCCTGAGATCTCAGGAGCTTCATTGGTATTCTGCAGGGGCCCTCAGGCCTGGGGGTGGGGAGGGGGTTAGACCCAAGGAACAATGGTAAGACTGTTTGTTTAACTCAGGGTAAGAAGAACCATCTACCCTAGTAAGTGGCCCACTCACTCATCCCAGCTTTTTTCACCCTGGAAGAGCTAAGTGGTCATGCAGGTGCAATGATGGATGGTGGAACTTGAATTCTTGCTAGCCAAACAGAGAATTCCACCCTAAGCTTTAGCTGATGCCTCCTACAGGGTTGTAAAGATGAGGGGAAAAGTCTTTAGTATATGTGATCCCTCAGTTATCATCCAAGTAACTATAGAGTACAGTTTGTTCAATGGGTGATGAAGAGTTCAGCCTTGGGAGCAACTCTGAACCACCAACTGATAGTCTTTCTTTTTATATCCATTTTCTTCTCTTTTCTTAGAGGCTGGATAACTCAGTATCCTCTTTTCTGTTCCTCTGCTGCTCAAAGGAAGAGACAAGAAGGGCATAGGCTTTAATGAGTCTCCGATGTGGAGTCTGAAATAAATGGCCTTGGATAAGTCTATAGTTGTTGAACTAGAAACAGTTCAGCAATACCAGTGTAAGAATCAGATGTCCATCTCTTCACAATCAAGATGAAGTGTTTGCTCTAAGGGCATTTAAATTCAGCAGATGAAAATAATCTCAGTCAATCTGGCCAAGCAAAACCCAAATTTTGGATACCAACTGAGAAAAACTCAGAATGTGCAAAAAGTTGTCTTCATTAAATTAATTGACAATTAAAACATAATGAAAAAGGCCCATTGGATTCACTTTGGTTTTCTGAAGCCCAAGAAATCCTTGGGTTTATGTGAATAGTAGTCTAAAGTCCCAGGTTCTGCGTTTCAGAACCCCTCAAGATTGAACAGGTATAAATTTGATTCAAGGAGGCTGTGAGAGATTCTGGGAAAGTTCCTTGGCTCTCTCAAGAGCCATTCTCACATTTTCAAGCTACATACAGAATGACAAAGCACAGCTGGCACAAAAGAACTATATAGTAATAGTACCCAATGCAACTCAATTGTATTAAATCACCTGACTTCGATAAGAAATAAAAGAGAAGAATATTGATCCTTTCAAATGTTTTCCTTTCATTTCTATTTATGTGGATTTAGTACAAGCATTAAGCACATTAGCAGTTACCTAGACACGATGAGAAACAGAAAAGAATTATAAAGCCAAGGACCTTTCGTCAGAGAACTTGCAGTCTTGTTGGGGAGAACAAACTTGTATCTGTGAGTCAAAAACCAAAGCTACCTATCATCAAATGCTTAAGCAGATATAACCAAGTCCTTTGAATGAAATATAATCGAAGGGAAAAGATAAATTCAGGGTTGGTTATATTTATCTGCAAACTCCTGAAACAAGTCAAATCTATCTGTGATAGATGAATTAATATCCTTCTCTTCAAGCCCCTCTCACCAATGCCCATCACAGGGGTCTGACAAAGATCTACAGAACCATTGTGATTCTCATACATATCCAGGTCCATCCAAAGGGCTGTGTTGATTCTGATGCTGTCCCTTTAAGCAGGAGCCAAGAGCTCCCAAGCCCTCCCTCCTTTCCCATGCCCTGGACACGCCTCAAGGACCAGCTCCATGATGGAAATTCAGTGTGAATCTGGGAACTCATCAAAGGGAGGAGAGGAAGGGCTTTCATGGAAAGGAATGGTAGAAAGAGACCAATTGTACCCTGCACAATTCCCAGCCTGTCTCTTGAATCCAGCTGACAAAGGGAGAGATAGAAGAACCCTATACAATAGAGCTAAACAACAGGCAGGCTCATTGAGTGAGAAACTGGCCCCATCTCCCTAAGTCTCTAATATGCACCATGGTCTTACCCTCCTCCCAGAACCCACCCTTTAACCTCACCCCGTGAACAGAAGCCTTCTTGATCAGGGCTTATAGCAGTTGACAGGGCCAAGATGCTAGAGCAGCCGTGACTGGTACTAGGGATGGATGGGGATCAGTAGGCGGGTTCTAGGAGTAAAACAACAATCACCAGGAGGTACCAGAGACAAAGACTTTTGCTTCTGGCCTTATCTTGTTCAGACAAAGCCCTGCCTATAATCTTGTCTTTCCTACATGATATCAGCATTTATATACCACATTCAAGTTTTGGAAAGGGGCCTTGAAGCAGCTGGGACCTGGGAATCCAAGCCTGTTGGGTAGTCAAATCATGTGAACAAGGTTTAAAAAAAAGAAGAAATCTCAGCCTACTCTCAAGAGAGTTATTATTATTCGTTTTGCAAGAGCATCTGGATCACACTGTTGCCTATACTCCCTATTCTTCACACACACACACACACACACCAATTAATGCCCAAACGCTGGGAGGCTGAGGTACAAATGATTGTTCATCCTTGTCATGGCACATCATCTCTCCACCTTGCTCACTTTCGGGAAGATGAAGAAGTACCTGGCACTAGAGATAATAGTAGCTGCATCTTATTCCTTATGTCAGTCTCTCAATCCCTCCTCTCTCCTTGATGGCAGTATGAAGATGATCCTTAGTCTCTTCCTTAGGATATAATTGATTATTTCCCAAAGCCTTGCCTGACAGAGAGCTCAGAGGCCAGTGCAGAGCTCAGAGGCCAGTGCAGAGCTGAGAGATCACTCTTAGGTCCATTTTGCAATAGTCAAGGAGGGATTAATCAATCAGTACTTGCTGAGTTTTTGATGTAAATTTGGCACTGGGTAGAGGCTGAGAGTGGGAAAGGTATGGAAAGCTGATGTTCCTGTTCATGTCACTGCCCTGACCTGATCTTGTCTAGGCCTGAAGTTCTCTGGCCAAGGAGGCCATGTCTACTGTTACTTTCTTTCAAGACAAAGAGATGTACACAAGGGATATTTTTTCAAGACTTCAAATTGATACACCAAAAGGCTAAGGGGAGAAAGATACCATTGGCTGGGGTTCTACCTTAATGGTCTGGAGATTATATTTCCCCTCCCCCTCACCTTCCAGAGTTGAGGCTATTAGAGTTCAGCTCTGAGACAGCAGTTCTAGTTGTCAGGCTATTGTGTAATTTCTCACTTTCTTAGCTCAGAGCCATGGTAAAAAAGCCTCCAAAGCAGAGTAGACCATCTAATGTACCTGATTCTCCAAAAGTTCCCTTGGCTCTACAGGACCAAGAGGAAGAATAAGGTGAGGAAGGCTGCCCTTGATCATTTAAGTAAGTGCTCTAAGAAGAGTAAGTGAACATGCTGGTTTGGATATGGTTTCTTTTTAGCTTCTGGCATTCTTGTGGCATTCTTGCCATCTTTATGAAACTCAATTAGTCTTCATGCATTTTGTAAAACTGGACCCCTGCTCTGCCTTCACACTTTCTGCCTGGACTACACCCATTTACTCCAAGCCAGCCCAAACCACACTGCTCAGCAAACAGTCACTTTTGGAGGGAAGCATCACAGTCTGGTTACCAGGGTAACAACCACTGTTCACAGACGACAACAGACTTGAGGAAGCCAATGTTTTGCTGTTCAGTAATGGCATTGTGTTACTGAGCAGAGAATAATTAGCTACTGCTCTTTGGCTCTTTTCTGGTTCCATTGTTATCTGAAAGATTTATTTACAATATCCCCCTTCCAAGTTGGGACAAAGTTTAATGAGCTATCATTTCCCTCAAAAAACTTTTTGTGAAGATACCACTGAATTCAGTGTGCCTTTTCACCTCCAAGCCTAAAGAATTCTATATGATTAAGGTAGTGAGCTTCCTGTTCCTAGAGATGATTAAGCAGAGGCTATAAGAATTCTTAACTGGGATGTTGTAGAAATTAATCCTGCATTGAGGGTTGGCGCAGACAACTTCTAAAGTTCTTCTCAATTCCAGATTCCATGATATAATGTGTCTACTGCAATTGATAGACAACACCCTCCACATCAGCAGTAGTAGTAATTCAGTACCTTATTAAAGATGGTCTATAATTCACAAAATATTTGAGATACTCTGTTGTTGAGTAACTGAAAATGTAGTGGCTACTCCATCATGTGTATCTGGCCCAAGTATTGTCCATACCCAGGAGTTTGGACTCAGTACACATCCTCAATTGTGCCCTTATCTGTGGTAATCTTCTTGTGGAGGAAATCATCCAGCCTTCATAACAGGAAACTCACTTTATGTGTTTCTGCCTTTCCTCAGGTCTTTCATTCCCTGAAGAAACAATGTTCAGCATGCTTCTTTACTCTCTCTGTTTTTAATGTACCAAATCTTCTCCTGGTATTAGATAGGGTTCCTGATGTTATCTGGGACAGGAATTGAGTTCTTCCATCATTCAGTTCTCACCTGGCCACACTTAACTGGTCAAACAATTCTCATTCAATCACACAAAGTCTCACAAAGAAAATTCAGCCCCCTTGAGGAAAGTAAGAATCAACCTGAACATACATTATTTTATAATAATCAGTATTATCATGATTTACAATTGTTATAGGGCTTGCTCATTTTCAAAGGACTTCCATATCATTATGACTTGATTCTCACAATGCTAAAAATAGGCAAAGAAGCTATTTACTATCTCCACTTTCCAGATGATGAAGTGGCGATTTATACTCATCTGCCCAAGGTTGTACAGTTCACAAATGGCAGGTATGTTTTGACTTTTAGTCCAGTGCTCTGCTCTCTTAACTATCCTACCTGAATTCAAACTTCAGAGAGCTCTCTTAATATTTCACGATGAGACAATCTGAAGGCAAACACTGGCTCAATATACTTGAAAACCTATCTTTATGGATGTTGTCAAAATCTACTGGGTACCACATTTGATGGTAAATATACCAGGCAATTGAGTATTGTATTTCTTAGGATGTGCTCATGCTACTACCCTTGTTTTGCCAAATATGAGCAATGTCTACATGTCTCTATGGCATTCAATGTAGAAAAAGACCATTATGCTCTGCATACCTTTCTCTGAGTAGACACTACCAGATACCAGAATCTCATAGCTTCTCTCTTTGCTTGTGGAACCTAGAGAAGCCCTCAGTACTCAACCAGCTCAGTAAGAGCTCTGAGATCCCAACAGTCTCCTTGTCACAGCAGGGACTCAGAGGCTGGGCCCTGCCTTTTGGAAGGCTAAGTCTGTGATATTTATTAAGAATGGTCATCCACATGCAAGCACACATAGGCTTGTACACACACACACCATATATATTTTTTCCCCAAGGGAAAGCCATTGGGGATTGTATTTTCATTGCTTGGACTTGAGAATTGCCTCCTTGGCCATGGCCAAGCCTGAGTTCAGCTTCCCTGATTCCCCAACTTTTTAGTGATGCCAAAAAGGGTCCAAATTTTGTATGAGGCAAACAGTTATTTTGTATATCTGAGGGCTATCCAACACTCAGTTAGTTGCATCCAGTGGAACCAGAGTTGCCAGCTGACTTATCACCAGGGCCTTGGAACCAGGGAAAAACAGACAGTAGAGGGAAGTAAGGGAGTAGAAGGACACATGACCACATCCATCCTGCTGAGCACTCTCTCCAAGGACCTGTGGGACTCTCCACATGCTGCTGAAATTCTTTGGCAATAAAGCATCATGCTTAGTACAGCAGGGAAGGAATTAATTTGAGTGAATGCTAAGGAATTAAAAAAGAAAACAAGTGCCAGAACACAACTCATTTTAAAAACCATGGGAAACCCCGAACCCCAAAGTTGAAAATTCTCTCATGAATTCCTGTGCCCCCGCTTGAATCTTTGAAGCTAAAGTTTTTGAAACTCACCCATGTCTTTGGGACTCTGACTCCAATTGTAGCCGGCTGGCTAGTCTGCTTTGCGGCTGACTTTGCTCAGCTGGAAGGATCCTGGTCTCTCCAGTCTCCTTCTTCGGTCCTTTACTTTTTCTCTCTGAGTATCTTTGTCCTCTTCTCCTGCAATGAAAAGGGCTTTCTGATTGACAGCCAACCCCCTTAAAGGGACAGGCCTGCTTTCCTCCTCCTCTCCTCCTCCCCTTCTCCTCCCCTTGTCCCCACCTCCTCAGGGATACTCCCTTCTCTAAGGGCTCAAGTTTCTCTTTTGGCCTTTCACTGCCAATTGTTTCATTTATTTCTTTATTTCTTTATTTTCCCCTAAGGTTTGCCTGGAATTTCATTTTGCTGCAGAGACATCTGGAAATAAAGATTTGAGGTGGAAATAAAATGAGGAGATCCTGGGAGCCTCCAACTGATGCTTGGGCCTATTTGGCGCAGGATGTGGCAGCACAAGTGTGAGAAGTCAGAGAAAAATAGTAGCCCTTACTAGAAGGTCAGGTTCGAAAACCTAGATGCCAACTCCTAGAGTCCTTCCAAATCTGCCCTGGCCCGCCCCTCACTCCTAGCTGCCCTTGGTCCTGATCACCTTTCTCTTCACCCTATTCCTTGGCAAATAAGCACCCCTTTCCCCACCTGACTCTAGAAACACAGTAAAGAAGAGAAAATTGTGTTTTAAAATAATTTCTTGCACATCCTTCTTGGTTGCAACTGAATGAAGACAAAATGCAAGCTGTTGGTTCCACCAGCAGATTGTGACCAAGCTAGGGGAGGCTAGAATTGTAATAATTTTACAGATAGTATAACAGACCCAGAGCAGGGCAAAACCTGTGCAAATTCTCAGAGTAGGCTAAAGAAAAGGCTAGAGTGAGTTGAGGATGTGGGTGACTTCTGAGGAGGATTATTGACCTTGAGATAAGTCAGGAACCTGAACTAGGAACCCGGTAGTAAGTATTCTATCCTGAGAATGTAGTGTGTTCACCAGAGAACTGAGGGAGGCTAGTGAGAGATGGGGAGCGGGCAAGGGTGAAGCAGCAGGTGGCAGTGGGGGTGGAGAGAAGAAATACAGTCCTTGCCTCAGAGAAAGGAACACTTAAGGGAAAAAAACGGCCAACCAGCAAAAGAAGACAACTAATAGATAAAACCTACCTTACCAGTAGCTACTTGTAAAAAACTGTGAAAGTATGTAAGTGCTCAGTGCTAGGTGGGATTAGCCTGGCAAGCTTTACTAGAACAGATGAATCTTTAGCAGAGTCTTTCTGGGCTCCTTGTCAGTGTTCTCTCTCCCCTAAGAAGCCTCAGAGAGACACCGCTCTGTGACCTAAAGGCTAGCGTCCTCCCATGGATGGCATCAAAGGAAACTGGTTGGCAGATAACAGCAGAGGTAACTGATAGAGGACTCCAGGGAAGGAAGGTATGGCCTCCCCAAACTTTTCTTGTGGCATTACCTTGGAATAAGAGCAAAATGGAAGGAGATATCAAACAGAATTTAGAATCTCCTGCTGGGGAGAGAGGCAAGATTGCGTCTTACAGTTTTCCCTGTGAGCTGTGACCTTGGACACAAAGTTTCTGGCTTGGACTCTGTGGTCAGGAAGTGGGTGAGTCTTCTGCAGGTGCTCCTGAGGGCTCACTGGGGCTCTGAGTTCTTGTGCAGATTCCTAGAACTCTAGATCTTTTGCCCCTTTACCAGTTCCAGGGAGAAAGGATCGCTGTAAATTAACCAATTCCGTGTAAGACAATTGAGGAGTAGCTTTCCAGAGCAAACCAGATTAAAGCTATAGAACTGATGGTGAAGGGAACTAGAGCCCCTGCCTACACTGGCCCTGTTCTCCAGCCACAGACTCTGTCCCACTGTAAAATCTCAGTTACAGGATTGTGCCAGCAATAAAATTCTGGATGGTCATTGTCAGAAGAGCCCTGGAGGAAGGAGAGAACTAAGAACAAGAAGTAGCCAAACGTGTGCCTTGAGCTTATAAAATGACGGAAAGAACTGAGCTCAAACTTTGGTGCCTCTGATATAGGGGATGAGAGAGATGATATTTCACAGCTTAAGTAGATGAGAAGGCTTTCTACATAGGTGAAATGACTCAGACCAAGCCATCTCACAAATCTTCCTCTGGATTCTCAGTAGCAGCTCTGGAGACAGCTAGGCAACTCAGGAGAAAATATGTGCTCCCAGTAAACTCTCAGATACCAGTTTGTCAACTGCATTCCCCTAATAACCATTTTGCTTCTCCTTTCCTCCATCCCACTGCCTTACTATTCATGTGATCTTTTCCCCAAGTCTCAGTCTCTGTCTCTCTTACCCATCTCTGTTTCTGTGTTTCTGTCTCTTGGCGTATCTGTTTCTGTTTCTTTCTTGTTCTCCCTCCTTGCTCTTTGATGGAGCAAATTTTCTTGTCTCCACCTTGCTCTTGTGACCAAGGATGGGGAAGGGGCTGAGCCAGGTGACTGGGTCACATTTACTGTCTCCAGTACACTAAGGTTCCCAACTCTCCAGGATCCGGTGTTGTGGTCACCCTGCACATCCTTACACTCTGCCTCCGCACCCTCTCAAGACCCTTCTCCTGAGTCCTCTCCCAAGCCTTCAAAGAGCTTATTTCCAGATCATCAAGAGACCTTTTTTATCCATCCATCCCCACCTATTTCTGTGATTATGTTCAATTGGTTCTGCTGGATGTCCTTGGCAAAATGTCTTCCAGAATCCTGCAGGGCTCCCTGCAGTGCCCAAGGATTCCTCTAGAGGGCACCACCAGCCTTTTTGGCTGCAGCCTGCAGCCTGCATTGAGTGCCTGTGGGAACAATGCAGGATTGTATCAAACTCGTAAACAGTTTGCTTCATGCGACTCTGATGGTATCAAAGAGAATCTGGGTCCTCTTGAGCATCGCTTGGTTTGGTTGTGCAATTTTCTTGCACATAACTCCAGAACAGTCGAATATTATCTCCATTTGCTGCTCTATGATCCCGTAATACCAGATTCTTGAAGGCCATAAAGCAAGTGAGTTCTCATTGTTCCACTGTGTAGACCAAACTCTGGAACTCAGGGAACACCAGTTAATTTCTCCCAGGAAACTAGATAAGAGGACAAGAGCCCTTTTCCATGTTCATACTGTAGAAGGTCATGAAAGGATACAGAGAAGGCACAATACCAGCAAAAGCCTGGGGCCCCTTGCAACATTTGGGTTTCTAGAACTGAGGCTTTGTTTCTCTTTACCTCAAGATAATGTCCTCCCAGAACAAATTTGGAAGGGCAAGTGACTGCTTCTTATAGTTTTTCTGTCGCTGGAAGGCAGGCAATATATTATGTCCTATGTTCTTGTGGCTAGAACTTTCCGACTTCATGCCGATTGGCTTGGCCATGACTTTTTTTCCAAGACAACTGAGGGCTAAGGGCCAGATATGCCACGTACTTTGAGCTAGTATGGGAGGGGCAGGAGAGAGTGGAGTGTACTCTCCTGCAAATTTCAGAAGCAGCAAGAGGATGGATAAGTGTTGGTAGTGAGTTTGATGCATATTAGTAAGGGAAAGATGCCCATGGCTTAGGTATACAGTAAAGATTAGCCTGGAAACCAAAATAAGCAGATAAATAAACTCAAGAAAAGAATGCCCACAGAGTACCAAATCGTTACTAGAGCACAGAGAAATCATCTGTCTATATAATCCATTTTCACCACTATGAAAACTTGTCCAGCTTTGGTGGGATGGCGCCTGCAGAGAGGCCACATGTTTGATAAAAATGTCTGAGTACAGCAGAAATTACCATCCTTGGCTATCGAATACTCACCTAACTCTGGAAGACCACTGTTATTTGTACTATTTAGCTGAAGGGGTACAGACAGTTTTTCCAGTGCCACCTAGCAGGCAAAAGACAGAGCCACCTCTAGGTAATGCCTCTCTCCAGACTCATTGCTGGGAAGTTGCTTGGAAGAGTGCTCTGCTCAGAAAGAATATTTGAAAAGCCATCCTTGGCTATCGAATACTCACCTAACTCTGGAAGACCACTGTTATTTGTACTATTTAGCTGAAGGGGTACAGACAGTTTTTCCAGTGCCACCTAGCAGGCAAAAGACAGAGCCACCTCTAGGTAATGCCTCTCTCCAGACTCATTGCTGGGAAGTTGCTTGGAAGAGTGCTCTGCTCAGAAAGAATATTTGAAAAGAGAGTCTCTCTTGCTTGGAAGAGTGCTCTGCTCAGAAAGAAATTTTGAATAGAGTCTCTGCCTTGAGCCAGAATAGCCAGAGGGAGGATGAACAGGTTTAGGTTGCTGGGGCCCAAGTTTCTAGTCCTCTATACTTCTCAGGCTAAGTAGGATGTCCATGTTCAAAATCCAGCGTGCAAAATCCAGAGGCACAGTTTGCAGGATCAAGGATTCCAAATTGGCTAGTGAAAATCAGTAGAGACTAGATGATATCAGGGATTTTTGGTTATATTTGTTAGGTGGGGTAATAACATGCTGATTATGTTATTTATAAGGGGTCTTTATCATATGCTGGACTCACATGTGCCCTATTTGGGGTTTCTCCCCCCTTCCTCATGCCCACATGCCCTCTGGCATACAAAATCTTAAAAGAGGAGTCTTTATCAGTTAAATATGCATAGAAAAACATAGATTAAATGTTATGATCCCTGGGATGCGCCTTCTCCAGAAATTTTCAGTAACCAGGCTAGATGAAACAGCATTGGCCAAATTTGATTGTGATTTAAGCTGGATGACAGGTATAGAGGATCATTATACTATTTTCAACCTTATATATGGGTAAATGTGGAGGTCAGAAAAAAAATGTCATTAAAATGAAGATTCAGATTAACCCAGAGGAAAACATGTCCAAGGGAAATCTCTGATATTTCTTGGAGGGTGGATGCCTATATACTGGCAAGAGTGACTGTTTCTACAGAATGGGATCAGGGTTTTGGAGTGAGAGGGAGTCTTTTCACTCTTTGCTCTTTAGTATGGTTGGAATTTGGAATTATATGCATTTCTTACATAGACTGAAAATCTCATTTGACAAGGCCTTTGGGCTGGGTTGATGGACAGCAGTCCTCAGGCCTCTTGGATCTCCTCCCCTGATCTCGGGGCGATCATAAGATTGAAGCCCTCCCTACAGCAGGTTGATTGGCCTCTTCGGTCCCCA